TAATTTTAAGAACGAGCTTTTTTTCTTTATTAGATAAGCTATAATTTATTACTTAAAACATCTAGATATCAACGTATTAAATATTCTCATAAATAAAATTTAATACTGGAATTATTATATAAAAAACTATTTTTATTGATAAATTATATTTCTCGAATTCTATATAATTCTAAATAATTAGACTTTTAGTTCCAGTATTTCTTTTTCCATCATTTTCTCTTTTTTGAAACTTCAACTTCAATTTTCCTCTAATCTGTTCTTTCAATCTATTTTATAAAGTTTTCAAATAATTCACGAAGCTGTTTACAGACAAATAAAAAAGTAATTTATTTTCCAGCAAATGGACAAATACATATATCAATAAATACGATCCAAAGTTTATAGATTTCGAAAAAGTTTTACAAGTAAGTAGCCACTTTCAAAATTCAAAGAAAAAAAAAATCGATAAAAATCCAGGAAACAAAATTCTTTCTTTTATCATCATAAGATAAACTAATTATAAATTGTACTATATCCACGTAGTTTTAAATATCACTTAAAATATCTATCTCGTTTAAAAAAATATTTGAATAATCACATAAAGATCAATTTTATTTCATTAGAAATAACATAACAATTAAAAAAAATTACATTCCCAAAAATGTCCAAAAATAACGGGATATAAATTTTACAATTTCCCTCCCTCCCCTTATACCACTCTGAAAAATTAAATCCGTACAACTTAAGAATTAAAAACCACGCACGCCATTCACCAAATCCTTTCCCCCTTTTCCGCCCAATCGACCGCAACTGCAAAAAAAAAAATTTAATCCCAACCCCTTCCGAAAACCATCGCGAAAAGCGGCCAACCCCCGACTATTAACCGCTCTCGAAAGAATAAAAAAAAAAAAAAAAATCCCCACAAATCGAACTCCTCCCTCAATCCTCTCCCCCCAACAACCCCATCGATTATTCTCTCCGTGTTCACGATAATCGTCGCCGAGTCGTTCAACCCCTCGATGATGGACGCGTGACATTCGTTCCAACCCCTTCCCAAGCCCACCCTCGGCCACAGCAAGAAGAACGCAACAAAGAGGCAACCGATGGGGCTATTATTATGACCAGCCTCGAATCAGCGGATCCGTGGTTATTTCCGGTGAACGTGGGGGAGGGGAGGAAGGGGAGAGGAGGAGGACAAAGTAATTGCGGCGAGCATAGCTGCGATTCCGCGCTCTCTCGCCTCGCGAGAGATTCAATTTAACGGACGAACTTGCGGAAAAAATCACGTGGAAGGGGGTTCTGATTTATCGATTCACGTGGTGGAGGAATTTTTGTTGAATTCGTGAGGGGTGTGTCCTCATTGGAATATGCAGTGCAAAAAATATATGCAACAGCGTGAAAGTTTGAAGTTTGCCGATCGTGTTTGAAGTATGCGACAGTGTTGTTAGTTCGTTACAGAGATATTTCTGAAGTTTTTATCGATAGATTAGAGTTTTTATTGATGTGTTCTTTTATTGTTTTCAATAAATAACGTCAAGTATTAAAAATATATTGTCAGTGTTTATTAAAATTTTCCAAATTTCCAATGTTTAAAGGTTACAGATGGTTATAAAGATCTAATTTAAAATGTTTTAAAAATGTTTATCACTGACTCATGAATCCAAAATGTAAATAATTAATCTTGCCCTTCAACCCCTTATCGTGTATGTAGATTTATCGTGACCTCTTACATGATTCACGTTCTTTTTAAAGGGGGAGAATAATTTACTTATCGAATGACTCACGATGCATGTACGATGGATATATTTTTATCATGATAATAATATAAAAACATGATGGAAACGACGAAAAATTTATTTTAATATCAAAATCGATCGAAGATTCATATGTAAAAAAAAAAAAAAATCTTCGATCAATCTAACATAAATCGAAGAAGAAATCAAACAATATTATCTCGATCCAGAATATCTCGAACAAAATAAATTAAAAAAAATACCTAATTCTCGAATTAAAAAAAGCTAATATAACCCGTTGATCAAAACTCGATCAACGAATTGAAATTGATCGATTTCAATAAAGCAGGTATGAAACAAAGTAACAATAACGTTCGTCTATTGCTCGTTTCCATACGAACGAAACGAAACACAACGAGACGAAAAAGGGAAAGGAACAAGGAGGGGGACGAAGAAGTAAAAAACACGTAGAAGCAAAGGGATGAAAGGGCACAATGTGACGGACACTACGGTAAAAGATAAAATGGCAGAATTGTAATCGTAGCAATAACGAGTGCGCACGATTACATTCATTCTTTGTGTGTGACTCGTCAGACTGATCTAACCACGCGATTTACAAAAGAATCGTATTTGTTTCTCCTCGTGTACAATCGCGCGCCTAACGATTCAAAATGAATCCCTTTCTTTCTTTTTGAGAGCGCAATACCGATTCCGCCTCGTGTCGTTTCAAAAGACGCGCGCTTCACGGCGAAACAAATTCGGTGAAAAAAGAAAAAAAAAGAGGGAGAAAATGGATATCGAAATATATATTCCGTCCGTAAAGTTGAAACGAAGCGAAAAATACGCGGAAGAGATGGATAGATCGGTTGATCAAAGTGATTGATCCTATTATCGACAAAAAAAAAATTAGTTTTATCTTCTTTAAATATAGTTTCGAGTGGAAATGATTTTTTTTATTTTAAGAAAATTATATTTAGGGATAGAAATGTGTAGGATGTATAGCGGAAAAATTTGTAATGAAGGAGTAATAAAAATAAAAAATAGAAGAACGTAGAGATAAGGGTAGTAAAAATACGCGAAAGATGGATGGGTTCACTGGTCAAAGTGATTGATTCTATTATTGGCATGGCGAAAAATTAGTTTAGTTTTGATGTTTTTTAAATGCAATTTCGAGGGAAAAATTCATGGAGATACGAGGAAATAATTTTTTATTTTAAAAAAATTTTATTTAGAAAGAATGTTAATAAGAAAATTTGTAATAAAAAGAAATGAATCTATGAATAAGAAAAATAAAACAAAATAAAAAAATACATAGAGGTAAAGGAAGTAAAAATACGCGAGAGATGGATGGGTTCGCTGATCAAAGTGATTGATTCTATTATTGGCATGGCAAAAAATTAGTTTAGTTTGATGTTTTTTAAAAAACATAACGTCGAGACAAAAATTGAGAAAGGATACGAGAATATAATTTTTTTATTTCAAGGGAATTATTTTTAAAAAATTTTGTAACAAAGAATCTATGAATCAATAAAAAAAAAACATGGAGATAAAAATAATAGAATAATTCAGAAAGTGTATAAAGAGAAGAGTAAAATGAATAATGGAATTTAAAAATTGAAAAAAAAAACAAAAGAATAGATAAAATTTTGAAAATCTACAAATTTCATTTTTGATTCAATATAAATCTAAAAAAATCTCTCAACAATTTTACAATCTAGAAAACATTTATGTAATCACTATACTAAATCATAAAAAATCAATAATTTTATTTACAAAAACTTCACTTCTCATTTCTTTATTCAAAAAAGATAAACATTAAAAAAATCAGAGAAACTATAAATAATAAAATATTTTGTCGGTATTTATTATTCATAAAAAAAAAAAATAATCAAGATAACAAAGATTGATGAAAAGATTAATCAAAGATTGAGAAATTGCAAATTTATTTACAGATTATATTTTTGTTTAGAAAATATTGAATATTTATGGAATCATTTATGCAACAACATTGTTACGCGTTAAACAACCATCATGCTGGAAATATTCTCAAGTCTTGGAATGAGGAAACACAATAAATATACGTATTTTTCTGCACAAATGACAGAATACATTGATATTATGCTTTCAAAGAGATTTATGCTTTTTTCTGAGGATAAATCCACTACTGAAGAAAAAAAAACAAGAATATTGGATTTTAAAAACGAATTCTTTACTGTAAGTGACTTAATTATTATATTAAAAAAATATATGATTTCATTTAACAAGATAAAAATGATTCATATTCTCTATATATATTTATATTGTCTATATATATTTTTTTTGTCTGAAATATTTTTTATTATCTTCAATATTTTTAGTAGATCGATTCAAATAGAAAATTGTTATAATTAGATGTTTTATTAATTTAGAATAAATAAAACGGTACAAAAAATAAAAAAAAAAATATTATCGAGAATTACATTTATACGTAAATAATAAATTCATTTTTAAGATTCATTTTTATTCATATCATTTTAGTACACGTATCTTTTTGTACTAAAAGCTTACGGAAATATCAAATTTTACATAAATTTTAGTAGATAACTCGAGCAAAAAATTAATTTTATGCGTATGGAAAAGTTAATCAGAGGCAAATTTCGTTACAGTATTGCCAACCGTGGCCGTAAGTAGTTCCAAGAAAAAGGGAAAAATTACGTATCCCGCGGACCGATTAACATAATTTGCCTACCAAAGGTTTCTCGAACTTCTTAGAAAACTTTAATACGCTTCTTTTCTTACTTTTTTTCTTTTCTTCTTCTTTTTTTTTTCTCTCTTGATGAGAGAATTTGCACTTCAAGAAGTGGGTTACCTCGAAAGTTCGAAGTAATTGGCTATTTTAGCTTGTGAATATAAAAAGGAACATATTGACAAAGAAAACGAATAACTTTCCAATCAAAGCAATACAAATGATTCTTATTATTTTTCAATAGATAATTTCAATAATAATAATAATTTTTCAATAATAATATTATTATTCAATAGATAAATTTCTAGTTGTGTAAATCGCCAATCAATATATTTTATTTGTTAAATTAAAATATACAATTGTCTTTCTATAATTGGAAAAAAAAAAGAAGAAAATGGAAAAATTTGATAGCATATAAGCTTTTGCAACAATTTGTGTAATTCGAATATTTTTTATATTTTATTATTAATTTTTTTATCAATATTAAATTATATAAAAATAGTATTTACATTTATTATACGTGAAAAGTTCATTTAATTTTAAATAGAATGTTCAATACTTACTATTTGGGTCGTGTATCCATTTCTTCTTATCTCCCACTTTCATTATGCGCGTGTCATCCTGTAACAAAAGAATATATTAATTAAATCATACATCTTTAATTTAACTTTTCTTTCCGCATTTCAATTATTTATTAAAAAAAAGAAGATTTTGAATTTATTCATTATTTTTCAATAATTCTCTACAAACATGCCTTACATAATTTTACATAAAATCTTATAATGAAATTCTCTTCATCGTTACATAACAACGAGTAATCCGTGCTATGGTAATCAGTAAACAAAGAAACGATAACAAAGCTGTTGTTTAAACCAGGAATAAAGTAAAACAGAACAGAAGCAAAGAAACAATCGCTTTTTTTCGAGGCAATTAAGGCAAACTCATTTCCCTCTGTTCTTTAGGTTTTTTAATGAATTCTAGCCGTTTTCTTCGATGCGAAATATGCAAAGGAACGCAAGCTGCATTTTTTAATGCCTGTTGGCATCGAAGGTCATGACCCGTGTCACGAAATTCATGCTTTGTTCGAGCTCCGTTCTGCGCTAGAAATTTTCGCTTAATATATATACAACCTTCATTGCGATCGTGCTAAAGCGAAACGATGAAGAAATATTCGCTCATCACGTGCATAAAATTCAGGGTTGTTCGGTTAAAAACGAAATGTTTCGAAGTTTAGGCCGAGGTCGTCTTGTGATACATATGCCAGTAAGGTTAGAAGTAAAGGAATATTGATGAAAGCTTGCGTGATAGTTCATGTGCCAGTTTGCAACAATTCGAGGATAATATCTAATATAACTAAGGGGGAAATTTGATCTAGAGGAGCTAAATACTACTGTTGATCAACTTTCTTTAGAGAGAAATTGATGAATGGAGAAATTGTTGAAGAACAGAGAGAGATATCGTTTAATTATTTTTTTCGATCAGATTCAGAAATTGAGAATATTGAAACAACATTTTGAAATCATTGAATTTGAAACTTTTAAAAATGATATTAAAACACTTCCCCCCCCCCCCTTCCCCTTTTCTCCTCTTTTGTTCTTTTTTATTTTTATTCTAGATTTTCTTTTTATCTCTTTTTTTCTATACACATTTTTTTTTATTTTTCTATTTTCTAATTATGTTAATAATTTTTTTTAGATATTTTTCTATTATATAATTTTTTTTTACATAATTATTTTTTCAATAATCTTTCTTGAATTGTAAATTTTGAATTTAACAATATGTTTTTTTTTTTAAATTACCTCACATTTTCATATTTGTATTTTTTATTTATATAAATTGTATTTTTTTTCATTTTTGTTTGTTTAAATTTTTATTTTTCTTCTTTTCTTCATATTTTTTTTTCATTTTATTTTCTATTATATATTCATTCAAACATTTATTATTTTTATATTTCTTTCATAGATTATGTAAATTTATAACCAATTTACACTAATTTAATTTACTATTTTATATAAAACTACAATTTATTATTATCTCTAGTTTTAATTTTAATCAATTTATTATTATCTTTAGTTCTTTTTTTATTTTTCTATTATTTTTTATACGAGGAAAACAAGAATAATAGAATAATATTAGAATAATAGAAGAAAACATTTGTATAAATATTTCAAGAGAAATTTTTTTTATTTTCTTATAAGAATTATGTAATAAATATCTTATAAAGATTTATTTCCAAACTTATATTATAACAGAATTGTTCATAAATTTATAAACAAATATAATCTATTTTTAATGAAATTTTAAATTGAATAAAAAATGCTAATATTCTTCTTTGTCTTATGAGAGAAAATTTCAAACTAAGAAATATTTATTTTACAGAAGAAATTATTTAAATCCTTTCATATAATAAATTCAAATAATAGAAGAATTTATATAAAACGACATATAATATCTCTTCCAACATCAAGAAACAAGAGGAAATTAATATAAGAAGAAACGAAAAATCATTTTTCGACAATCGAGAATCGAACTCTGGCCCACCGGGTGATATCTTGGTGACGTTACTCATTACGCCATCAACGCATGCAATATCTTATTTATATTTTTAAGTATTTAAACACAGCGTATCATTGTTCTTATATATTTAATCATTCAAATCTCATAATATCATTTCAGAAATAATATTCATCAATTTTTCTCAAACAATTATCCCAATTATTTCGATATTTTTTAAATCACCTTTTACCTTTCAAAAATATAAAACCGACATCAATTCGTAATATCGACCACAGTGATATTTTAATTTCTATGCAAATTGGGCGACGTTTTGGACTTACAGGCATTGCCACTGTAAAAAAAAAAAAAAAAAAAAAGAAAAAATTCAGGACAAAAATTCAAGAGTATTACGAGTTTTCGTGGTCGAATCATTTACCGCGTTTTCCATTTTACTAAAAGCGCAATTTTTGTTGTTCACAGTGTTAAACATTCCCTTTGCCGTGGTGCAAGTCTTAACAAGCGTTAAACAACAACCACCATCTCCTCGTCGTCGCGTTTGGCACGAGTATACAATTAGAGCGGAATGATATTTTGTAATTAGCAGTATAACGGGTCTTTCTCGGCCCGAAATACGAAGATGCACAGGGAGAAAGAGGGACACTTGAACCGTTTCACCGCGTTTCGGACTTTCAAATTGGCTTGGGGAATCGGTGCAACTGGGGAGAGAGAGGCCTGTAATTATCATCGAGCGGAATAAGGAATGGACTAGGTCGAAAACGTGGCGCAACGTCGAATTTACTGCAGCCAAACTATCGTCTTCGCCAGAAACGAATTCCTTGTCTCTGCGAATAATTACAGTGATCGGGAAGGTTGCTAATGCTAGCCCTCTTGAAATTTATTAGACACTTCAGTCTTAGATGTACAACGAGGGCGTGAAGAACGGAGACGTTTTAGCCTTTTGTCATGATTTTCATTTACTTTTGGTCAAAATAAATTTTTGAATCGAGTCAATCGAGATGATTGGCTACAAAATTTGATATATTTTATGCAATAAATATATATTATAATAAAATATATATATAGTAAAAAAAAATCATATGAAAAATTAAATTATGTATAAAATACAATTGAGGTAACTGATATTTTTAAGATTAATTATAGTTATGCAATATAATATTACACAATATTATATTCTGTTAAAGAAATTTTAAAATTGAACAATAATTAACAGCAGAACTATCTACAATATGCAATTTTAAATATAGTAATATTATAAGAATAGATTTCTATCTGAATGAATATTGGTATTAATTTTATCAAAAATTATATCTGCATTTAAAAAAAATAATAATTGTTGGAATCAATTTTCGCAAAAAAAATGCATTCTCTCCAAAAATCTTAAATAAAAGTTTCGAACAGTTTTAGCATCGAATCTGTGCCACTTAGCCAATATTAAATTAGACCCGCAGCAATAAAGATCCATTTGTTATTGAAATATTCATTGAAATAAATATTAGAGTAGAAATACGAAATTTCCAGTGACCTAGATGTTTCGTTTAATTTAAGAAATTGAATTTGATTCCTGATACAAAATTCATTATTCTAAACGAAATTTTTAAAATTTGCAAATTAAAATCTCACTGCTCGATTTAAAAAAAAGAAAGGAAGAAAAAAAGAATAATTAAAACTACATTCCACGTTAACAGTCCTCGAGATTTGGCGCATTTCGATTGCACCTTTCCACTTTCCCTCAAGTGGCTCGTTAATCGTCCTATTTCGCGGATACTGCGAATTGAAGGCGATCTCGGATTCAATTTTCTTGGCCACGACACGTTGGAATACGGCTGGTTCGGCATTTAAAACGAGCTCAAAACGAGGCTTTCTTCCAAAGATCTGATCGAGCACGAACCGCCTTGTCGATTTTCCTCAAGATCTATCTCGATAAATATGGAGAGGATTCTCCTACCGGAAACGATCGAGCAAACCTGCATTCCCGATTATGGTAATGTCCGTTTTAATCAATAATTAATCAGTGTCGTAATCAGCTTTCGTGGAGTCTCCTCTGCAATGCATGGAATTATGTCGCTGTCGATTCGAAAATATGCGCCAGAATAATTCGACCAACATCGTCCGCTGATTGAGAATTAATCATTTTATATGGGGACACTATAGTATTGATTCCACGATTAGTTTCGAGCATTCGTGATATTAATTTCTCAAGAAATAACATCAGCGATGCATGTTGTATGCAAAATGAATTATTTAAATTTGTATCGTAAAATAATTTTAAACCAATTTGAATGTTCGTGTTATTGTTGGAAATTTGGAGAAGAAAATTTTTCGTGTAAATATTATTGTTTGTAGAAAGTTATGATACAATAATTTAAAAAGATTTTTTCTCTGTATTTTTTTTTTTTTTAAGTTGCTTTTTTGTTTCTATGATATATATTTCAATATTTTCGAGACAATATACACAATAATATTTTTGATTAATGATTGCTAAAAAAATATATAATTTAAATTATTCCAAAATTTATCATGGAATTTTAAGAACATGATTTTTGTTTAAATAACATTATATAATATATAATGTAACAATATATTGTACATTAAATTGTTTAATAATATATTTTAATTAAACAATGCCTCAAAAGGAAGTTACAATTGCGTTAGCTTAATAGCAACAACAACTTGTACCACAGACTTCCTCTAAGGTCTCTAAAAGCTAATTATCTTGCAAATAATGGCTCGGTCTTATACAAACCAACCTAAGTTCCCGAGATCAAAGACATTAAAATTACCACTTAAGAAATTAAATACATATTTCAAGATGAAAAATTTTTTTTAACCTACAAATTCCATCATTATTTTAAATTAAAATTATTCTTTAATAAACTTTAATTAAACATTTTAATATAAAAAATTTTAAATAAAAGATTCCTCGAGAGATTATTCTAATCTCAAATCAATCCTATTTCATTCAATCTTTAAGAATTGATATGATCGTTATTGAAATTTAAAAAACTTTTCAATAACCTCAATCAAAATTTTATAAACTTAACAAAATCCTAATCTAATTTTTTTCTAAATTATTAAATCCTATACCTTATAACTTATTTGTAATT